GGCTTCTAGAACAAAAGATGGCAAACTGTGTGCCTGTTGCCTCTTTTTGTAAATAAAGTTTTATTGGGATATACATAGCCACCCATTCCTTTGCATATTGTTGACTGCTTTTCTTCTCTGACTGTAGAGTTGAATAATTGCAACAGAGACTGTGGGCTGCAAGCCTAAAGTATTTATAATCTGGCCCTTTATAGAAAATGTTGACTGACCCTTATTCTAATGTATTATTTTGGTGATTCATCTTTTACAGCTTTGCTCATTCTCAGTTTCTTGTATGATTCCTTTTCATCTGTCTGCCTAAATGTTCATATTCTCCAGGATCTTCTTCAGAATATCTTACCTGTCTTGGGGCTTATGTGACACCATCGTCTAGGTTTTTACTACCTAACCAGTTTCTTTTTTAGTGTTCTTTATAGGCTTTTCTGCTCCTGGAGACTTTGGCTACCTCCTTCTTATTTTACAGGCAATTTTATCTATTCCTGTAGCTTCAAGAACCATCTAGACCTCTTGCTAGAGGATAAGATGAACATATCAGATTGCTTTCTGGACCTTTCCATATCTGTGTCCTTCAGGCATTTAAAGCTAAACGTGTCCCAAACTGAACTCATTCCTTCCTTCTTCCAAAACAGCTTCCTAGGCCAGTGAATTCTATTGCCATGTTAATAGTCACATGAGTCAGAAGTTTGATAGTTATCACTCCCCTCCTTCCATTTACCAAAGCAGTAACAGTATGTGATCAAATAACTGTTGATCTGCCTCTCAGAGCCATTCTCTTCCTTCTGTCTTGACTCTTTCTACCTCCGTACAGGTCTTAGTTTAATTTATCTTCTCCTTAAAAACACAAAACTTTTTTTGATAACCAGTGATCTTCCCAAAACAAATCTCTTGCTTAGAACATATTAGTGGTTCTTCATGGCTTGTAGTATTCAAACTTTTTAGCATTATATTTAAAACTTTCCACCAGGTCTCTTTCCCGAATTTTTCAAGGTACTAATAAGCAAAATTTTTATAGGTCCAAATCCCCATTTACCGTATCGCACTATCTGAGTGACCTACAGTTTCCACATTGTATTGTAATTGTTTGGTTTGCTTACCCATTGAAAACTGTGAGGACTATGAATTTTTATACGCTCAGAGCCCTGGCTCTGACACATAATTAGCTTCAAAATATTTGTTGTACGCAGGGAATTATTTTGAGGTGACATTCTAGCCAATTGTAGGGTCTTTGGGGGTATCTGAATTTACTCTGGAATCAAAGATTTAGAAATGGATTGAAATAAACACTTTTTCAGTCCTAGTGTGATTTCAGAAGAAGGATGATGGAACTTTAGGTAATTCCTTTTTGAAGAAGAAGGTATGTTTTGGAAAAAATAGCCTTTGAAGCAAAACTTTTTTTTTTTTTTTTTAAGTTTATCGATTTTGAGAGAGAGAGAGAGAGTAAGCAAGGGAGAGTCAGAGATAAAGAGAGAGAATCCCAAGCAGGGTCCACACTGTTGTCAGTGCAGAGCCCAATGCAGGGCTCAAACTCACCACCTGAGAGATCATGACTTGAGTGGAAAACAAGAGTTGGACGCTTAACCGACTGAGCCACCCAGCACCCCTGAAGCAAAACTTTTGAAGTCAGTCCTATTTTACTAGATTTTATGAAAATGGAACTTTCTATGGTAGGAAAGATCCAGTGGAATGAAATTTGGTGAAGAAGAGAAGATGATAGCCATATGCTGCCTACCTGACATCTACAGTATTATTAAGCTTTCTGGTTGTTACTTCACCTAAAAGTTAGCTTTTCCTTTATTGAATTTTACATAGGGTACATAAAGTACCCTTTAGGGATTCCCTTGACACAGTGCTTTTAGCTTTGGAAGTACCCCTCCCCCCCCACTTTTTTTAAAGTGTGAGATGTCAAATGATGTAAAAATGAACAATAGCCCCTGTCTACTTTAGAGGAGGATATATGTTAATGGCTATTGGTTAAACCAAAAGGATAATTTTTCCTTTAAATGTACCTTTCAGGTTTTCTTATACTTGTGTGTTATTTATTCCATCTTGAGCAGTCTTTTTGTTTTCTCTTATTTTGTTTTAGGTGGGAATGATAAAAATAGTTTACATGTAAGTTTTTATCGTTTCTGTATTGGAAAAAATTTGCCTTTATAGACAGGTTGTTTTTCTACAATGGATTTAAAATTTTTAACTATGATCTTGTAGTAAGAAGTAGATTTTACATTGCAACCCAGTGCACAGAAAAATAACTGAAGTAAGTTTGATGAAAAAGTCCTTAGTCTTACTGTATTAAACTTCTTAATTCTTTTCTCCTTATCCACCCCCTTCTCATTTCCTGATTGGCTGATCCCGCAGTTTGAGAATACTGGTCTACAGCAAGTTGTAAGGCAGAAGAAATTATAAAAACAGGGAATTTACTCTGAAAGACAAAGTAACCAGCTTTGAGAGCTCCGTCTCTGATACAGAAAGATACAAAATTCAGCTTTTCTTAAGGCACATGTATAGTAAGTTAGTTGGACAAGTTGTGTTAGTGTGTGTTGTGTTTCCCTACAGTGACTACAATGTAGTATCTGATTTCTATAAGGTACTTTTTGAAACGCATTCTTTTATATGACACTATTGAACTACAGTTTACAAAAATAAAAACCAAGAAAGTATATACTCAATTCTAAAATATTGGTAGGTGCTGCAGGAATTTAGAGATTAGAGAAGATTAGTGTGAGTTGGAACAGCTGGGGATAGCCTTGTGAAAGAGGTAGGAGTTGAATAGGAACTTCAAGGATGGATAGAATGTGTGTAGGTGGAAGGGAGGGATCAAGACATTCCAGTGATGATGTGATCAGTGGTTTAGAATTGGGAATGAGATAATATGGTCAGAAAGAGTGAGAAGTGGGATCTAGTTATGATCATGTTGGTTATGAGTGGAAGATAACATGAAGCTGATAATAAGGAACCAGAATATGAAGTGCTTTAGACTTTATCTGGTAGGAAATGGGGAAATTGCTGTCTCTCAGAATTTACTTTGTCTGCTAATAACATTGCTGCTCCAGATCTCTTGGTGCTGTTTACTTGCTGTATCTTTTTCCATCCTTTTACTTTCAAGCTGTTGGTGTCTTTGAATCTGAAGTGTGTGTATCAGAGAGAGAATATAGTTGGAACTTGCTTTCTTATCGAATCTGACATTCTCTGCCTTTGATTGTGTGCTTAGTTAATTACATTTTATGTGGTTTTTGTTATGGTTGGAATTACCTGTACCATGTTGCTTTTTGTTTGCTTACCTCTCATGGTTTTGCTTCTCTGTTCTCATGTATGGCCTTCGTTTTTTAAGGTGCCATTTGTAGGTCCAGGTTTGATTTTTTTTTTTTTGTTAGTATTACATAAATTATTTTCTTTAAAAAAATTTTTGTTTACATTTATTTATTTTTGAGAGAGCGCACAAGTGGGGGAGGAGCAGAGAGAGAGGGAGACACAGAATCCAAAGCAGGCGCCAGGATCTGAGCTGTCAGCACAGGGCCCGACGCGGCTCAAACTCACAAACGGCGAGTTCATGACCTGAGCTGAAGTTAGATGTGCAACTGACTAAGCCACCCAGGAGCCCCTTCTATCATCTAAGAACTGGAGACCACTCTGTTCTGGAGACCACTCAGTTCTGCTGATTAGGCTCCTCATCTGCTGTGCAACCCCCAGCCCCTCTTTTTTTGGCTTTTTTTTTTCTAACCATAAAGCATTTTTTCCATCCAGATTCCCAGGTATATTAACTTTTATGTTTTGTAGCTCTTCTAATTCACTATTTTACCTGAAATTTTATATTTCCTGATCATATAGCTGGTACTTTTTAATATTTTTTCTGTTATGTAATTTGCCTTTATTAACTGGACTTTTGACAGCCAAGTATATTGTTGGAATGTATCTTCTTTGTTAATATATACTCTTTGAATTTATTACTGCAAAAACTTATGTTGTTAGGAAGCCATCATATTATTTGATGGTTTCTTTTCATGAAGAATGAACATAACTTTGAAACTCCCCAAAGGAAAAATTATTTGTGTGGTTTATAAATTTATCAGGACTGTACAGTTTCTGGGATGTCCTATTATAACTCTGTAAAACTTAGCAACTGAACCTTTCTTATGGGGCTCTCAAAAAAAAATTTTTTTTTTGACCATGTCTTGGAAGATAGTGGGGCTTGTAAGAGCTCTTTGCACCCAAATTTATGTGTTTAGTGAGAAGCTTGGTTTTTATTATAGTTGTGAAAGATTCCAGTAATAATAGCTCATTCCAGGTATCTCTGTCATAATATAGATCACTGCTTCTCAAGCTATTAGTTGTGAAGTATTAGTTAAAAAAATTTCCAGTTCATCAGACTGATATTTTTGTAACATAAAATACAAATCAATTACTAGAAAAGTGAAATTAAAAAATACAAAATACAGGCCCCACTCTTAAGATTCATAAATATGAAATTATTCTGTCAAATTGCTGTGAAAGATTCTAAGCACTTATTCTCAATTTCTGTGTTTATCTTATCGCAAGGCAGTAGTAAATAGTTCATAGACTAATAACAAATAGTTTGCAGGTCAGTACAGACCATACTTTTTATCTTGTTTAGAAAATTTTTGTTACTGTTTTAGTTTTTAAATTTTTAATTGAAGTATAATTGACATAATATTATATTAATTTCAAGTGTACAACATAGTGATTTGACAGTTATATACATTATGAAATTCTTACCACGATAAGTGTATTACGGTATTATTGACTATATTCCCTGTGCTGTACTTTTCATCCCTATGATTTATTTATTCTACAGTGGGCACTTTGTACCTCTTAATCCCCCTCACCTATATTGCCCAGCCTCCCAACCCCTAGACCATACTTTTTAGTAACATATCCATGGCCTGTTCTTTGTAGTGTTTATTGTTATGAAATTTTAGTATCGTAGTCAATATGGTGAATAGCATTTATCCTTTAAAAAATATTTTCATGTGTTTCCTTTTCAGAACCGAGAGCTCCAAATCATGAGAAAGCTAGATCACTGTAACATAGTCCGATTGCGTTATTTCTTCTACTCAAGTGGTGAGAAGGTAGGTCTTGAAGAAAGTGTGCACTGAATATTGTGATAGACTTGTTATTCTAAAAATAGTTCTTGTTCTGCACCCGATCCCCCACCTGGCCCAGTGAGTGAAACAGTTTTGCTAATATTAAATGGAAGAATTCTAAAGCATAAGCCCTAGTAATCCTGAGCTCAAGACATAATCATTGACTATCAGTAGTTATATCAGAAAATGTTATGAGATGATAAAGGGAAATGAATTTTGAAGAATTTTCTTTTTTGGAACATTTGCCTTTAGTTCTTTACACACACACACAAACATACACACTCATACACACACATATATTTATTTATTTTTTAAACTTCTGTGTTCCTTATGCGTTTCTGGAGCCACATGATAGTTCTAGTTGTTTATTAGAGGGTGGAAAATGATGTCATTTTGTTAAGTGGAAGTATTGGAGGGAAAGGGGAACAGGAGGACTTTAGTAGGACCAGAATGAGACTTCAACATTGGGAGGCAAATTTAACCTATCCTTGGTGAGGGAGAAAGTTAGAAAGGTACAGTATTATAGAGCTTGTTATACATGGTCATTATTTATGATTGCATTTAATTTTGTGAAAGCAAAGGATAATTTAAGAAGACCATGTACTGTGAATCCCTGACCCTTTTGGTTTTTCTCTTCAAATAATAATAATTAATGTCATTGTGCTCCCTGGAGATGGAAGCACAGAAAGTCTGTTTCTTCTGTTTTACCTTCTTCTTTCTGCCTGTTCACTGTCCCTTCTTCCCAGATTCAGTATTTTCCTTAAATTTCTACTTTACTGGTTTCTGGTGAGGGGGCAGGGCAAATAACAAACCACTTAATCTTTTTGGCTAAATAAATATGACTTTGGATAGGTTCATTTGATATTTTTGATGTCAAGTTGCACATACTATCTTAAGTTCCTAGATCTATAATCCCTCTTGATTACTAAGCCCAGTGTTCTTTTTACTTCATGTAACTACTTCCCAGTATATCAGAGTTTAATCATTTTCCATTAAATTTTAGTTAGGTTATTTCCTTAGAAGTTATTTTTTTCATGACAGAGCCTGTAATATGGGAAGATGCCTATGTATTAAGCCAAGACTGTGATATACATTCTGTAGATACATAAATGTTATTTATATATTTGTGTGTGTGTGTGTGTGTGTGTGTGTGTGTGTGTGTGTGTGTGTGTGAGTGTGAGTCACAGCTAATGTTTTAGCAATGATAATTAGCAAATTGGTTCCTTTGTGACTCTTGTTTCTCAGGTGCTTGTATTAGGGACTGTAAGCCTTTATAAGTATTTGAGCTCTTTTGTTTCTAAAGCCAGTTGTGAGGTTCATGCCACTTTTTTTTTTTTTCTTAAAAACCTAGCAAACAGCGTGTTATGTCTTTAATCTTATTTGTTTTGACATGTCTTTACTTTTTCCTGGCCCTTCCCAAATAAAATTATGGAACATCTGTTACGTTCACAGCACTCTTACAATGGAATTTCGCATCCTCATGACTTTTTGTTGTTAGATGCTAGACATAATAATACCTCAGGGAGGAAAGTAGAGGTCAGAATTATCAAAGCCCCTAAACATTTTCTCCTGATTACTTTATTAGCTCTCCCTATATGGCAGATACTGTTTTTAGTACTTTACAAATATTAACTCATTTAATGCTTACAAAGATAAAGAGCAGAAAAAGAAGAATATCAAACTTTTGAATATAAGGCTGTGTTTGTGGTGGCATCAAAAGGCTTACCTATCTGGTTTTGGTCTGGTGGAAGCCGTGATCACAGTCTGCCCTCACCCTCACTTAATTCTGCCTTGGTAGTGACAGTGGACTATTATTTGTGTATCCCAATGGATGATTTTCCTCCCTGTTGCTGTTTAGAGCTGCTTATTATTAAAAATGGTCTTATAGATAAAGAGTAATTGAGAAGTTATTAAAGGAGGTTAACCAGAAGGACAGTGAACCTCTATTATAAAAAAGAAACTACTTTATAATGTTTTATTTATCTCAGAACTTTCTCTTGAGCATTGTAAATTTTTCATAGTGAAAAAAAGATTCCTCTTAATTTTGGATAGCTTCATTAACAAAACAGAAAGGGGGAAAAAGTTGTGATATATTGCTGAAGATAATGATCCTTCCTTAACAAAAAGAGGTTTTCTGAAGATATGCAGAAATACACAGGTGCAGGACCTCCCATGATCTTCTAGCCACCGAAAAGATGATTTCTTCTTGCTTTCCTCACCATCTCTACTTCCATTCTTCTGAATTGTTCTGGCAGGGCTAACATTACTCAAGAGACCAGGTAATAAACTAGTATGTCCCATATGAAAAGACGGGTTCTGCTCTAGGGTTGAGAGTTCAGGTTTGTTCTGTTGTTGTTGTTTTTAAATATTTATTTATTTTGAGCAAGAGAGGAGAGAACGCTAGTTGGGGAGGGGCAGAGAGAGAAGGGGAGAGAGAACTGAAGCAGCCTCCACGCTCAGCATGGAGCCTGAGGCAGGGCTTGATCCCATAATCTATGAGATCGTGACTGAGGCGAAATCAAAACTCAGACATTAACCAACTGAGCCACCCAGGTACCCCAGGAGCTTAGGTTTGTTATTATCAGTTCTGACTCTCCAAGAGTAGATTACTGAGAGTGAACTTAGAACTACAGTTGTAGAAAGGGATCTAAATGTCTTAGGAAATTCTTACAAACCTTTAAAGATGATTTCTGTCTGAAGAGAAGCTTGGTGTACTGCCTGTGTGTGCGCGCGCGCGCGCGCGCGTGTGTGTGTGTTTATGTTTATATATATATAAATTTGGGGGGGAGGAAGTAACAAGTTAATAGTTTTGAGATGTCTCTGGGACAAGCAAATAGAAATACCCATTAGATACATGTATGATTTCACATGTAGTGGTGGTGGTGGTGTCAGGAAGTGGGGTGCTAAGTGGAGAAATGATATTGACAAAGTTGGGTTGATAGAGTTGTGTAGCCATGTGAAAGAGCTCTTAGGAGTTCTGGGAGAGGGGCTGTTTGAAACCAGCACAGCAAAGAGCCAGCAGTTTGCCAAGTATTGTCTGCTGGTCCTAGAATGTGTTGAGGGTGAGAAGAGTCCTCATTTGAGAGAGCTGTAGGGAAACCATTGCCTTTGGGTGGGATCCAGGTGGATCTGGGGAAAAGCAGTGTAAGGGCAAAGCAGTATAAAAAGCCTCCATGAAGAGACTGGGATTCAAAAGAGTTCCTTTTTGGGGTTTCAGAGAGCTTAGGGGACCATCTGGACAGGAGATCAGTGGTCAGAACAGGAGCCCAAAGGAGATGTGAGGAGGCAGTTAGGGGGATGATTTTAGAAATTTTGAGGTTGAGAAAGAGCAGAATTCAGTGTTTCAAGATTATAAGGATGAAAGACTTAGTCGATGTATGAGTTCAGATATGAAATATTTTGTAACCTTTTCATCGTCATCATTATCTCTCTACCGTTTTCTGTCTCTTCTGTGCCTGTTGTCTCACTTCTGTTTAGTCTCCTCCATCTACTTTCTGGGTTTTTGCTCCTTTTACTCTGGGTTCTGGGTCTCTCTATGTTTTGGTCTGGGTTTCTGTCCCTCTTTCTTGGTCTATGTGACCCCCTCATTTGTTTTCCCTCTTTAACTCTGGTGTCTGTCTGTTGCTCTCTCTCTTGGTTACTCTCTCTATGGATTTCAGCCTCATTTCTGGGTTTGTGTACTCTTCTTTCATTGGGTTTCTTCCCATCTTTCGTTGAATGCCTGATCCTTCCAAATCTTTATATAGATTCTCATCTGTCCTGAGCCTTCTTCATTCTCTTTCTATCCTGACTTTTAACTTCTACATCTCTACATATCTTATTCTATTTGTACATGTTTTACAAAATTGTATGAATAATTATTTATAATCTTATTAAATATTGGAGATCTCATAATATTTCTGGTTATTGGTTATATAGTATGTATTTCACTGAGTTGTTGAACTGCATAATACCCCCTAACTACTCCCACATTGTTATTTTTAATTTTAAAATTATAGCTAAGCTATCCCAAAGCTTCATCATAATTTTTGTCCATAAGCACTCTTTAGTTGTGGATGAAGTTAGAGTAGGATTGCTGTAATACTTGGCAGATATTTCCACTGATCACAGTTTGAAAGGTTATATCTGTTTTGGTGAAGTTGTCTTTATTTTGCTCCACTCTGCCATTTTAAACAGTATTTTTATTTAGGGATTATGAATAATCAGCTTTTAGCATATAACTGAGGAAAGGAGTAACCAGGATGACTAAAAGAAGGAGGAATTAAGTCAGAACAGAGACCAGAGGTGTTACTTAGTCTTAGTTGTAGTCTTCTGATTGGAATTACTAGTGTTTGCTATAGTAACTAGAGCATCATGTAGTCAATTAGTATACTTTAGATTACCCAGTAGGTTTTAGTAACTGATTTAGTTCAGAAAAAATAGCACTCTTTCTCCTTGACCAGAGGAAAAATGGGATTTTTGAATGTTTTGAAAGTCTGGGCTTAATATACTTTTGTGAATTCTGAGTACCCTAGAGAATGGTGTTTTTTTCAGTATCAGTATTTGGCAGTAGAAATTCCTTTCCCCCTAAATAAAATTTTATGAAGAACCCCTATTCTATAAATGGAACAGATAAAAAGGAAAATTGCTTTGGTTCAAACCTGGGGTATGGGGCCAGCTGACTTTGCTTTTCCTGAGTTGCAGCTCACCTCTGTAGAACCCTAGGACTCTGAAGGACATAGTTTGTAAACCACATTGTGTCTTTACAGGAGCCTTAAATTTTATTTAAATTAATTTTTTAAGAAAAATTTTTATAAGTAAACTTACGTGTGAAAATATCTTACCTTTGTTCATCATAGATTGATTACTTGGATAATAAAGAAATTGCCTTCCTTAAAATAAAACTCTCCCTCTACTTGCATGAGAGGCAGTTTAAATAGCAAGGATGACAAATTGATTTCATTCCTCATATTAACTTTGTTCTATTGATAGTAACTGTGTAGAGG